CTTGTGTCGCTAAAGTTTCGTCGGAACGAAGTTACGGAAAGTTAATTAACAAACGGAAACGTAACAATATCTTCTACTTGACAGGTGAAGGATGTTGCTGTCATTTACCTGTCTTACAAAATGTCCTGTAATCAAAGTAGGTGATATCTGTAAAGAAACAAGGGCAACTAGAATGAAACAACTCAACAGTTTTCAGGACCACATTTATATGTCAAAACTACATAGAGTCAAACTAAACAAAAGTTAAAAAGAATTCCTATATTATTAACAGATAGTGGAAAATGCACGATATGCCTATATATCACAATTTAATTAATCAATATCAATACATATTGTTCTTTCCTTTCAGTCATAGGTTTTTAGAATTTATTCAAACCCCTGGTAATACATTGAAGAAGAAGAATTATTGACAATTTTGTTTGAAGTTAAGCACAAAGCTACACAATGGGCTATCTGTGCTCTGCCCACTATGGATATCAAAATCCGGTTTCTAGCGTTGTAAGTCCGCAGACTTACCGCTGTGCCACTGGGGGCAATTATTGACAAAGTAGAATCTAAGATGCGAAAAGGCTAACATACACTTATACATTTTTTTTTATTGATAGAACGCTATATTTACTGACCAATTTCTCCAATTCACAAAGGAAAAAAAAAGCTTAACTAGGGAAACATTTGTTATATTATTATGTATTACTACATTATAGTTTATTGAGCATAACACAAAACTTTATGTTAAGCATGCCATTTTGAATACTTAAACAGTTACAGGTGTAAACGATTATAAAGTTTGGCTGGTTTTACGTTTCTTAGGTCGTAAGTGTGGAGTGTAACGCATTTCTGTATGCAATAGGGAAGTAAGAAAGTTAGGTTTCGTCTGTGTGTAGAAAGCTGATTCAGTGGTAGGTGTTTACGTAAAAAATAAATAAATGATATCTTTAATATAGAAAAGCAAGTGAATCTGTATGAGGTAACGAATACCTGATAGAAATAAATAGTTTTACTCTCTGTGTGTGAGTAATAGTATTACTCGGTAGTAGTACTTACTAATACTAGTTACAAAGTACACTGTGTGCAGTATACCGAGTTTACTTCTGGGAAGTTCTGCTTCGAGTAGCAGTACTATATAATTATAGTATATATAATATAGTATTAGTACCGTTACTGTTACTAGTATCACTGTAGCAGTATAGGCCTATTAGTGAGTACTGCTGTTAATTGTAATCAAGCCATTTCTATTTCAACTTCAAGGAAATAAAGACAACAAATTAACTGTTGAATTACTGAATTTAAACTTAAAGAAATTAAGATCAAATATGGTGATGATAATGTAAAAATTATGTCCAGTGAGTTTTTGGATTGTTCATTTACACCGAAGAAAAGTAGTGAACTATTTGAAAGTGCTTAAGCTTGTGGATCTCTTGAATTTTGAAATCAACACAAAAATATTAGGTACATGTGGTAGATTTCTTTCAGTTGAATTTGAAATAATGCAGCCATATGGTGTTATGCTACTACTAGTACTAGTATTAATAGTGATATGTGATGTACTTAGTGAAACTTAACATTTTGAATATCTTAAAAGTTAAAAAGACATTTTTGTAATAAAACTTTGTTTTCATAAGTGAAATATTTAGCTTAAAAGGTTTTCTAATAAATTTGTTATATTGTAAAGAAAGGAAGGAATGATTATTTTTTCCAATTTGAACACAAATACTTCTTGAGTTTTGAACTCCTACCATATTTATGATTTGCCTTTGGCACCAATGTCATTGTAGGTATCAGATGTAAATGTAAGAGATACAGCATAATATTTATAATACATGACTCACTGACATGACTCACAATCAGTACATTATGAGCAATAGTTTAGACTAAATGTAATACTTCAAAATGTCATGTAATAAATGCATGAACAATGTGACTGAAAAATCTTATTTGGATCATCAAGACAACTCCTTTGGTTCACTGAAATAAACCAAAGGTAAACCATTCTACATGTATAAGTTTGTAACTATCGTTTCATTAAATTATGAACATACTATTCAACATTTGCACTGACAGTATGAGGATATGTTACACACCCTTCATCATGTTGTTAACAAATTATGTATACATTTATACTAAACTAATTTCAAATTAGAAGTCAAAAATAGAATACTGTAAAACTTGTAGTAGTTGTTGCATAAGAATAAATGATTTGCAGCTGAGCATATCTGTAGTGGAGATATGAAAAATGAAATAAACATTCACAATGGAAATTGTAGGCAAGTTGTTTGTAGTGATACAAATTCTTGATTCTAATGAAAGAAACTTTGCAAAATCATTTAATATCATATTATAAAAGAGAGCCAATGTAGATTCATTGACGAGAAACCTTATTTTTTTTTTAAGGATGTTACTTGCTATCTAGATGATGGAAAGGATGTGGATTTGGTGTACTTAGGTTTTGAAAAGCTTTTGGTAGAGTGCTACATAGTAGATTAGCTAAGAAAGGCACTTTAATTGGAGGTTGAGAATAGGCCAGTTAATTGGATTATGGAGTGGTTGGATGGAAGAAAGGAAAAGGTCATTGTTAATAAAATCTAGTGAAACTAGACCATTGTTACTAGTAGTGTATCTCAGAGGTCAGTGCTTGGGCTTTTTCTTATTTATTCAATGATATTTATAGGGACTTAATTAGTAAACTTATGGGTATTTATAAGAGTATTGAGGATGCTGAGATAACACAAATTGTCCTAAATTATAGTAAATGCAAGGTAATACATTTGGGTTATAATTAGTATCGCATTTAATATAGATATGAACCCACTCAGTAGTGTGACTGAAGAAAGGACTGTTGGATAACTGAAGCAGTATTCTGTTGCTAGTAGTAGTAAAGCTTATAGAATTTTATGGTGCACTTATGTGTACTTATTGGAAAGAGTTTAGAGGAGGGCTTCTATGATGATTGTGAGGATGGATTATTCTATAGGGATAGTTTAAGATTTTCCAACTTATTTTTTCTTATGAAAATTTGTGTAGGAGTTGTCATTATTTAAGTTTGCAAGATTATCAGAGGGATTGGTAGGATAAAGGCTTCTGATTTCTTTGTTCTGTATTCTGAAGATAATGGGATGGGAAAGCATAATTCTAAAATATAAAAAAGACAAGCTAGGCTCTAGTTAAGACAGTTTTATTTTTCTGACAGGGTGATTGGCTTATGGAATGAGTTGCCATAAGCAGTAGTGAAGGCCAGCATTTGACAGGAACAAGAGGGGATTCAATGATTTTCTGAACTTCTTACTTTTATCAAGGATGGGTGTGCAAGGACAGTCTTGAAAAATGAAATGGCCATTTGTTATCTTATGTTTTGTTCTGCAGTGCATCCTAAATTTAAAATTAATGTTTATTATGTAGAATTGATGTTTTGGTGGGCTCATAATGCATCAGCTGCTACGGTCCTCATATGAGGTTCCAAATTCTGTGGCCTATAACTCAAATGTGTGCCAAATTTTTCAGCCATACAGAGTCTCATACATCACTTGTACTTCCTTCTGTCCTCCCATGCTTTCCCCATTACTCAGTTCTCTCTCATACATTATGGAGAGTACATACATCTCTTCTTCTGATAGTGAGCCTCTACCATAAAATTCTCGTGGTATTGGTGGTGTAAGGAAGAAAATTATTGCAAAGAAAAGAGAGCTTGTGAAGAGAAAGATAGAAAAATAGTTATAAGCAGTAGTGAGGAAGATATTGATGATCCAGTTCCTCCACGTGGTCATGATGCCAAGCACCTGCCACCACCACCTACGCATCCAAAAAACTAAAGGCTCTAAAAACTTTGACACCTCTCGAGTGAATGCCCATGATTTTTGACTCTAAGAGATGTTTTGTTCCAGGAATCAGAAGTCAAGGATTGGGACTTGTATAGTAAGGGAGAATGTTGGGTTCAGGATGTCGAAATAAGTGGTGATGAATCATCAAGGGTGGAGAGATGGAGACACTTGCCTCTTTTCTTCTACAAGGCTACTCATGCATCCCTTGTGTGGACCGATGGTTACAATTTTCAGCCAAATGTTCATGATTTTGACAGGTAGCATTCAGGTGTGACTGAAGACTGGCCTCATGGTGATGATGTAAAAGAACTTGACTATTTTGAGGCCTTCTTTGACCAGGAATTGATGTAATTTATTGTCACAGAAACCAACAAATATTACAGGTACATAGTGGATAACTTTATATTCGCTCCAGGTTCATAGATGGGTAGACGGGTACAGGAATTGTATGCATTTTTTTACAGACTTTTATTGATGCCCCTTATAAAGAAACATTGGCTCCAGGATTATTGAAAAATTGACCCATTGATTGGAACTCCAATTTTTGGAAAATACATAACCAGGGACAGATTTCTCCTCCTCATAAGGTTTTTACATTTCGCTGACAGTAACCATCCATCTGAGAATGATCGAATATGGAAACTTGGAGAAGTGTTTGCTATGATAACTTCAAGATTCAGCAAATTTTTTTACCCATTCCATAAGCTAGTGATTGATGAATCTCTAGTTTTGTTCAAAGGTAGGCTTGTTTTCAAGCAGTATATACCATTAAAATGCCATCAATTTGGAATGAAACTTTTCATTTTATGCTGTTGTAAAAATGAAATTGTCTTAGATCCCATTGTGTAATGACATGGACGTTCCCAAAAGTGACCCTCTGGTGCTGTGGTGAAGAATCTAATGGCAAAGTATATGGGAAAAAGGCATTTATTATCCACTGATAATTGGTATTCATCACCATATTTGAGTAATTTCATGCATGCACAAAAACTGGAACATGTGGAACTGTGAGAAAAAACCAGAAAAACACATGCCTAAGTTTACTGCATGAAGTGCTCTTGATGAACTGGCATGACAAATGAGATGTGACAGAATCACATGTGACTGGGAACACATGCCAAAGTTTACTGCATGAAGAGCTCTTGATGAACTGGCATGACAAACGAGATGTGACAGAAACACATGTGATTGGAAACACATGCCAAAGTTTACTGCACGAATGTGAGTGAAGAAAGTCAGGTAAAGTACTTTTGATGAACTGGCATGACAAACATCGTGACAGTGATCAGTACCTTTCACAAAGACAATGGCAAAGTGGACTATAAAACTAAGGAACCTATAATGAAACCAGATGCAGTGATTAATTATACAGAGAACATGAGGCTTGTTGACAAAAGTGATGCACAGATTGGAGGGGTGTAGAATATGTGACAAAAACACTGAAATGGTATTACAAACTCTTTATGCATATACTTGATGTCACCATTCTCGATGCATATAATCAATGTCTGGTTAAAAGTGGAAAAAGAATGAAACTAATAGAATTTAGTTACAATGTGATGTTTCAAATTCTTGAGAAATATGGAACACTTGCTGCATCAGGCCAGGGATGATGAAGTGTGAATCTACCCGACAGACTCCTTGCCAAAGAATGGGTTAATCGTCACTTTCTGACACATACACAGATTGATAGAGGATGCCATAAACAGGTAACATGTTGTGTGCTTCAGTTAATCACTACAAAAGTGACAGAAGAAAAAATTATCTACAGTTTGCAAGGAATGTAAGTTAGGATTTTGTTTGGATTGCTTCAGGAAATACCACACCATGAATAAGTACTGAAATGTAGTGAAGTAGAAATTGTACACAGTAAAGTGAAAATGTATATACTGAAATGTAATGTAGTGAAGTAGAAATTGTACATAGTAATGTGAACTTGTATATACTGAAATGTAATGTAGTGAAGTATAAACTGTACACAGTAAAGTGAAACTGTATATACTGAAATGTAATGTAGTGAAGTAGAAATTGTACATAGTAATGTGAACTTGTATATACTGAAATGTAATGTAGTGAAGTGTAAATTGTACATAGTAATGTGAACTTGTATATACTGAAATTTAATGTAGTGAAGTATAAATTGTACATAGTAATGTGAACTTGTATATACTGAAATGTAATGTAGTGAAGTATAAATTGTACACAGTAAAGTGAAAATGTATATACTGAAATGTAATGTAGCGAAGTAGAAATTGTACATAGTAATGTGAACTTGTATATACTGAAATGTAATGTAGTGAAGTATAAATTGTACACAGTAAAGTGAAAATGTATATACTGAAATGTAATGTGGTGAAGTTTAAATTGTACACAGTAAAGTGGAATTGTATATACTAAAATGTAATGTAGTGAAGTAGAAATTGTACACAGTAAAGTGCAATTGTATATAGTGAAGTGAAATTGTACACAGTTCTTGAATTGTATATAATATTGAAGTGGAAATTGCACATAGAATAAATAATAGTGATAAGTCATGCTAAGTGCTATTAAGTTGATATCAAGAGCATAGGTCACCCATCTCTCCACCCTCCTCCTCCACCTTCTCTAATGCCAGGGTTGCTGGCACTTGTCAATATGCCATATTTACGACCTCACCACGGCAAGATAAAAGTAGACAAATGATGTTTTTTTTCATAGACCATTACCTTGCATACTGTTCTTGAATTCTACAGGAACAAAATATGTTTTTATCAACCTTAATATTTCGGTGTTTATTGTACACACGAAGATATCATTAAATTCTCTTTGTTGCATCTAATGAGTTAATGTACTTGTACAACAAAGTAGGCTTTTTTGTTTTATTACAGTTCATGATTACGTTTTTCTGTTACTGATTGTTTTTATTGATTAAAAGTCAATTGGCTTAATCAAGCCTTTCACAAAGCAATCACTTATAATATGTGGTGATAAAAACCAGAATTTCTGTCCTAAATACAGGGGTTAAATTGGGACAGAATGATCTGGAACAGTGTTTTGCCTCTTGAGGATACAAGCTATTACTATTCTGATTGAAACATTAAATTAGATCACAAAAGGGAGTTCCACTTCTTTTAAAATCCCAATTTAACTGCTGCCTAAATATGTTTTAGTATAATGTTACATGAACTATATAGTGTATAAATACATTAGAGTTTATTCATGTGGACCTAAGTATTCTATTTTAACTTAGTAGGCTCTATAATAATATGACATAGGATATGACAGTAACTTGGCAGTCATCAACAATTTATTTAATATGGACATTTAATCTTCCATAAAATTTACTCCACATTTTCTTAAAGTAACTTCTGATGCATTTTATGGTCATCAGCATATAGGAGTAACATTTATATATTTTGTGATTAGCATAGAAAAATACGGTGCTTCTTGAAATTTCCACAAAAAAAACTGTAGTATAAGTTAAGTTTTATATAGTTATGAAGAGTTCTGCTGTCTTACAATATATACACAATTATATCAAATTTTTCCCAGTCTTAATTAACACTAGTTTATTTTATTATACATTGTTTTACTTATAACTAGTTATTTAGTAAATAAAGCAGGATATGTTCAAGATAGTATTAATTCCTTATTGGTTTTATATTATTATAATATAGTTCCTATTGTATTCAATGAATTGTAAGAACCTTTGAGTGAAAATGAAGAATACTGTATAATAATACATCAACCACACTGTATCTGTGATATCCAGTTCTGATGAGGCCTTTCATCCTATAGCAGGGAAATCCAGGCAGGCTGGGATATGACATAGTAGTGGTTAAAATAAACATCCCTTCAATAATTACTTTCCTTCATAAAACCTAGTTTACTGTATTAGCATCTGTACATTTGTGCAATGACAGAGATACAGATTAGTTATTATCAGGACAGGATAGTATTGACTTAAATAGTTACACAGAAATAATAGAAAACAAAACTCAGATGAAGGCATGTGTCACTACAAGTAAATGCAGTAGTTAAAAAGGCCAACAAGAGAGCTTTTAGCTTTCACTAGTACCCTTTATGATAGGAATTAAGTTAAGTATCATTTGTATAAGTTAATAGAATGTCACTATCTCAGCTGTTCCCCATTTTGTTTTGTAGGCTACAATGTAGATGTGTCATATGTTTATACAAGTTTATTGATACTGTACTAATGTCTTAATTTCAGATTGACATAATTGATGGCTTCTTGGAATGAGTAGACAGAGAAGTAAAGACAACAGGAAGATGTCAGATGGTTATTTTAACCATTCTGTTGACATTTGCAAATTGAAAACTACAGATTTTTCTGTTGCTTCTAGTATAGTCACATAACAGGAACAAGAATGTCAGGAAATAATCAACTTCCTCCTGGAAACCTTGGAAACCAGCCAAGAAACAACAACAATAACAATCCTAATATTGGTCAAAATATGAGGGATCGTCTCTTCCATGCACTCTTTGTTCGAGTTGCTTTAGTGTATGCCAGAGCTTTTCCTCCACCAGTTAGAAAACTATTTGAATACATGGTTTTGGCTAAGGTGAGTTAAATCAATTATAGGAGTTAAGTTTATTTAAATGTTGCTCTAGGTTTTTGTATACACACACATTTAAAGAAATGGAAGCCAAGAGTGCAATACGTATGAATGTTAAAAAAAATACATAAAATATAAGCTATGTTTAGAAAAAAATAATATATGATATGTATACAATGCAGAAGTAGGACCCACTTAGTAGTGATGAGATACACTTTATTAAATTTAAACTAATGTTAACCTTATGTGCTACAGAAAGAGGCAAAATAATTAGTGTTTAAATCATTTGTGACAAATGCAGAATGCATTGGGTTTTTATGAAAATGTGTGATAAATGTTAACTTACTGTGTGTGAAAACTATTTTTGAAGTATATTTTTTTTGCTGTAATTGTGTGGAAAACATATGGTTGACTTGAATAATTGTGTGGAAAACATATGGTTGACTTGAATTTTGGCCATTTAAGATTTTACTTGATTTACTTAAAATATATGTTATTGGGCTGACCAGTTCTTGTATGCACATTTTTATAATGCCACAAATATAATTAATTTTCCAGCTTATGATTGAAGGACTATTAAGTACTGTATGTTACATTGTGAAGTCATTACACACTGTAGGTAATATCGTCTTTGAATGGAAATGGAAAATCAGTTTTAATACAATTATTTGATCATGTAATCATAAAGTATTGGAACATTTTGTAATTTTGCAATTTGAGAAGTCTGTTAGGTAGTTATATGAAAATGTTTTTCTGTAGTATGAAGGATAGCTTACATGCGAGTATAAGATTCATATTCTGTTAGGTTGTGTTTTGCAAGCAAATCTTCACATGTACGTGTATTTGATTTGATGCTACATGCAATTCTTGTAGAGCTACATACAGTAAGCTTTCATTACAAGAGCACCCTGTTGTGGCTAACTAAAAGAACTGCAACTGACAGTCACTTTTGAACAAAGAACTGTTGATTAATTATATATAATTAATAAACATAATAATAAACAAACAGAACTGAAAGACACTAACATAGATATATACCTTCAACTATAAGAAGTTACACAAGTTAAAAGATGATTGGATTTTCCATCTAAATGCCATTTAATGTGTGATTAGTATTCAAACATTGTCAAATGGTTTCTGTTAGCAAGATAAAAACAAAAACACTGATACAACTTGAATGGCATCTGAAAGTCCTCTGAATGTCCAGAACTATCTTTGGATTCCGGGCTAGCAAATGAGCCTTTGAACACAGCTTTACTTACAATGCCATAATTTGGTGTTTGATTCCTGTGGTGAGTAGAGTACAGATAACCAATTGTGTAGCTTTGTGCTAAAAGTCCTCAACAACTTCTACCTTCCCAATATAATTTTCGTTTGCACACTGGCTTATCTTTACACAGTGAGTTCAGAAGGTTGCAGAATAATGCAATATAATATGCAGTCAACCACTAATACCATCCCCTCTTCTAAGAAGCTGACAGTGTGTTCCAGAATGAAGTAAATGTATCTGCACACTTATATATGTTTATTGTTTGTGAAACATTACAAATGAAAAATAAAAATGTTATTTAAACTCACCTTTTTACAATTCTGGTAATGTAAATGTTAGCCATTACAAAAAACATTGTAAGTTATGTATATTTACTAAAAATACATATGCATAATAATATAGTGTAACTGTGAATATCACATGTGAGTTATATATTGTTCTTTCCACTGACATTGTCTGTTGGGTATACAAGTCATTGAGCCTTGTGTATGGTTTTTTTTATTTAATTTCTTGTTACATTTAATATTTTATTACCAAAAAACGGCTAACTTTTTGCACCTTTTGTCTTAAGAAAACTTGTTTTCTCATCAGGCTCTGATGTCATTGTTCATTCTTGCATATATCCATACCGCATTTATTCGTACACCAATTAGTTGTTTGGACCATCTTCATAATGACTGGCCTCGTGATGGTATTTTACGTGTTGAAATTTTACATCATGTTGAGAGAAGGGAAGACCCTTATACTCTTGAAACCCCAAAAGAGGAAGAGCAGATTTCACAAGAAAGGTACGAAAATACAGAATATCTTCCTGAAAACTTAACCAGTCAATCTACAGTTTCTCTGACTGCAACTTTAGAATCTTCAGGAAAAGAGGTTGGTAACAGTAATAGCCTTCTTCAAGAAAAAGCAGATGACAGTTTTAAAGAAGCTGTTATTCAAGAGAAGAGAACAGATATCAAAATGGGAGATACTCTACTGAATGATGGGAAGGTTGAATCAAGCAGTGAGCTCTCATCATTTTTAAATTTGAGTTATATGGAAAAGGAATTCCTTCCAAAACCTCATGAGGGATATCCACATCCTTTAAAAGACTCTCTGTCTGAGTTGGAGATGTTGACAAAAACCGGTATAGTATAACTATTTCACTTTACGTTTTCATACTTTGTTGTTAAACAGTAGAAAATACAATAAGAATTTTAGAAAGAATAACTTGATATTTATGATCCCAACTTAAAAAATGTCTATAAAGAACCTGTTGCATAAAGATCTGCTTGATACAGTGGTTACACTGCAGAAATGGTACATGTGCATCAAAAAAGGAAATATTTTGTAAAATTCTAAAGCATCTAGTGAAATTTGGCTGAAATGTAGAATTCATGTAAAAATCAAATAAAAGATAGTGTTTAGACTTAAGTAATATAGTAATATTTAGTCTTTATGAATTTGAAAATTTTTATATGTGTGCATTATGATTAAATATGTCTCTACTGTCTTATATTGACTAGTAAGAACTACAATCTTGGTCTGTTCCATTAGATAAGAGATAACTCATCAAATGTTTAATTTTTAATCTGTATGGAGTAAATCTCTAAGTTAATGTCAACAAAATTGATCATATTCAAAGTATTATGTCAACAAGACCAAATGTAAATATGAAATTTCAACACAGTATTAGGTTGTATTAAAATTAGTATACACAATATTATTCCAGTTTATTTGACACAAAGTTGAAGACTGAACTTATTTTAAAACAATGACTACAAAAAACCCAGAGGCAAATTAATAACCATGCAGAACATTTCTTAATTTGAAACAAATCTGTTCAATAGGTATAATGTCCCAGTATATTACGTGATGGATTCTGTTTCCTTCGTAAGTATTAGAGATTAGTATACTAAACGGTACATGAAAAAAATGAAATAATTGAGGTTGTGTTGATAATCATGGTCCATTTATCTCCAGTCCAGTTATCAAGTAAAAGATTGAGTAGATAAGTACTTAACCCTTTCACTGTCAGGGACACAAGCACATATTATGTCCCCCTTTAGAGCATTACTGTGTGAGTTTTGAATTTTTTGCCACCTCGAAGGAAGGATATTCCCCTTTGTGCTTCCCACAGTTTATCAGTTTCACCTTTCAGATAAGTAATGAAATATCAAAATGTCTTTTTGTTTCTGAAATTCGGCTCTGAGAAAGTTCTTTATGAATGTGGCAGCAAAAGAGTTAATGAAGGTTGATTTAAAACTTTTCTTTAAATGTATAGTAATGCTTTCTTATATTCGTTATCATGCATTGGAGAGTAGAAATATGCATAGTCATTAAACTGTTATCTACTAATTTTATTTTTATTTTTTGAAACTGGTGATAGTGCTTTCTCAATATAAACTACAATTAAGTTAACCAGTTTGTTTGTGGTTGTGTGTGGATCTTTTGTTTATTCACTAAAGGACAGATTATTTTTGCCACTTCAGAAAAAATAATGGTAAAATAAATCAACTCCCATGTGACTAACTTTTAAAAAAAATTTGGTTGCTACTCTAAATATCAGAGGGTTTGTTTTTTTTGCCCTAAAATAGCCTAGAACAGTGTTTTCCAAACTGTTGGACACGGCCTTTTGGTGGGAGAGCCCAAAAATAATGATGGAAGAAACAGAAGAGTTGGAGATAATCTAACAAAACTATTATTTTGCTCTCAAAGATTTTTTGCTCTTGCATTTATTCACTCCTTAAAAGTATTTTTTCATTCAAATAAAAATGTATCAAAAACAAGAAAAGAAAATGCTGATTTTGCTGTTATCACTTGCAAAAATTATTTTAATGTGAAGAGGAGGTGAAACAGACATTTTGCTGAGTTACGGGAGTGTCAATTTTTAAAGTTTGTAAAACACTGGCCTACAGGAAAGAAATTTCCAGAGAGGTTGAATATGGTATTCATCAAGATTAAGAATGGCCACCTGTGATAAGAAGTATTTAAACTCTTGTTTTGTGAGTTTTTTGTGTTTTTTTTGGCACTGCTTAAAAGGTGTTACGAGCCATAGGAGAAACAGCATTACTTTGAGTCTTAACATGATGTATGGTGTCACTTTAATTGTACGTTACACTTGTTTTTTGTCAAATCAAAAGTGAATAGGTGTGTCTTCTTGCATTTAACCACACTAAAGGTTTTTGTTCATCTTATACAGCATCTATATGACTGCAACACTAATTTCAACTGTAAATTGTGAAACTTGAGGTGAGTGATGACATGATACTTAGACACCAGCAAACTAAAAAATTATGTTACTTTAGATGAGTCGAGTCATTGGAACAATCAAATTACTTTCTAGAAAATATTGTTTAAGGTCAGTTATGATAAGCTCATAAAAATTGTTTTGGTATAGTTGGCTGATAGTAAATATAATACATAATAATATATTTGTTTATAGTCAAGGGTAAAGCTCAATACAGTTAATATTACAATTACTTGGTATGTACAATTAACACTATTCAAGGTAGGCACAATTATTTAAATTCATTCAGGTTGAATTATTAGAACATTTTTTACTTGGTAATTTGAAAAAGTGTTTTCCAGAGGGCTTTAATGTGAGGAAATTTATTCCACCCATTTCTAGCTGGGTTTTTTGAGTATTTTGTATTGTACTTGATAAGAGTTTACTTGCCTGAAAACAATTCTTGTCTGAAATTAATTAAACTGAGATAGATTTTACCAACCTTCTAGGAATGAAACAGAATTGAATTGTCCAAACCTTTCTGCTTATGTCTTTAATGATTTTACTTAATTGAGGGCAACACAGAGTCAGGTAAGGGAAGACTTAACAGTGAATTAGCAAATTTCTTTCTGACTGTTAGAAAGTGATATTTTAATAAACACTCAAAGATTTTGCTCAAAGGCAGTTCATATTAATAAAAAAATTAAAGATAAAATAGATGAATTTATTTATTGTCCAAAAATATTTGTGTGTATATACAGTATTGAAAATAATTATGAAAATGGTGAGGAAGAAGTGTATGAAAGGCAAATAGTATGAGAAAGCTGGAAGGTCACCCCTTTGTTGTATAAAAGTGAACTGTATCATAGCATGGTGAGGTGTTGATAGATTACTCTGTGATTGGTTGTCATTCAATGAATCAGAAAGTACTCTGCAGTGTAAAGCCTTTAAAAGTACAGGCAGTCATGCATGGGAAAATTGTGGCATATCTTCATGTTTCAGTAGGAACTGGGTGCAAGATTCTGAAGAGAATACGTGAAACTGGCACTGTTAATAATAGAAATGATTAAGACTAAAAACTAAAACACTCCAAAAGTGATGCTAAGTATCTCAGAGTATGTTATTTATGAGATATACACTGATCAAGTACATATCTTGCCAATGACCTTACTGTAAATACAGGTGTGAATGTTACTTTGAGTCTAGAACAGTAAGATACACATTGGCTTGAATTGGTCTTAGTGGATGTATAGCTGCTTGAAAACTACTGCTGAGAAGAGGTAACCAAACCAAAAGGTTGAAATGAGCAACAAGCCAAAAACAGTGTTATGAGCAGCAAGATTTAAGATGTGTACTTTTTACAGACAAATCCAAGTGAAAGTTGTTCAGAAACAATAAATGACTGTTTATTCAACAGCAGAGAAAAGTAAGATGTTACACTCTAGTGTACAACATCTACAGTGAAGCATGTCCAGGGATCACTACAGGCTTGGGGCTGCATCTCGGCGAACAGTGTATGTGCTCTACACATGGCACCCTGATTATTGACAAGTACAGACAGATTTAATCCAACATTGGGTGGGTATTCATCTTCCTGCAAGATTCAAAGTGTACTGCAAATGAGCTGAAATAATGATGATGGCTTACCATAAAGAGGCTAATGGAACACTAACAGCAATGGCTTGGCATGTACAATGTCCTGATGTAAATATTCTTTAAGCTTATAGACTTGTGTAAAAACTGAGAAGGTCAGAAGGTGATCAAACAACTTGGCTGAACTATGGGGGGTGATAATACAGAATATTGAAAACAATATTCAAAAATCATACATTGATAACCTAACGGGCAACATGAAAATGAGGTGTAATGCTCTGTGTATAGCATAGGACTTGGATACAGAATAATAGTGCATCGTATAACTTTCTTCTTTTCCCTTTGTTTCTTCTTGTAAAATGTTTTGTATCATTACAATAATTAATTTCAAACCTAAATATATATATTCCTTTTATAGTTTTAATTTTATTTTTTGATTATCAAGTAAATTGTTATTAACCAGATTTATGCTGGTTAAAGTTTTAAACTTAATTTATAAATTCTTATCTTACTGCATCTCTATATTCTTGCACCTAATAGGATCCTGATGATTGTTTTATTTGGTCCATGAAAGCATTAAATCATAAGTGAACCGAATGGCTTCCTAGCAGATTTCAGTTGCTAGGATTCTGAAAGTGGCTTTATTTTGAAGGAGCATTAAGCTAAGACTGATTTTTGCTGAGAACCTGAGAGTGATTTCATTTAAAGAAAACATTGAACCCAAATTGAGTTTCTTTCTGATTGAATTAATAGAAACCTGCATCTGTCAAACAGAAACAAATCCTTATTTTTTAATACATTTAATTAACTTTTTGGTTAAAAAGGATTTTTGTGGATTCAGTAGAAAAAGCTTCAAAAAATTGTTTTGTTGCATATAAAACAATCATTTCCATATTGTGTATAACATTTTTCATTGAATTTTTACATTAATACTTGTGTAACAATCCATTTAATCACTTATAGAATGCATAATGTGATCTACCAAAGTTATATTTAGTACTATGATTTTAAGTGTTTTATTTTCATGGTAACTCTATAGAATCATGTTTACTTATCCTTGATTTTGTTGTATTATAATTTAATTTTAGCTAACTAGGAATTGTAAATAAAGTGGCATAAAATATTAAAAGAAAATGATACTTATAAGATACAAAGTAGAAAGATTAAGCCCGAGTCATTTGTCAAAAACCAGATACTTTCTAAAATTTTAGATTCTAAAATCTGCTCTATGTTTTTGCAATGTTAACTATTTAAACAAGAGAGAATCCTCAATAGCCATGGCACTTGAAGTTATTTTAGGCAGAATTAGAGTCAATTAATCTATGAGATCTTAGGTGTGGTCAAATACATCAGTCGAAAGGGTTTGACATTCTGAGTCAAAAACTGTGATTAGATCTCAAATCAGTCAAGCAATGATGGAGCTATGAGCTAAAAGTTTGTACTTGAAAAACAAAACAAATCAGAGCTGTTCTATGAGCTGCTATGCTATGGCTAAAAATGATATATTTGGACTTGTATGTTTAAAATTACATTAAAAGATTAGTGTGTGCTTTTTCCTCATCTTTGTAGTTTGGCCACAAGATGAATATGCAGTAGAGTATTCACTTGAGTATGGTTTTCTACGGTTGTCAGCCAGTACAAGACAGAAGCTAAACATTCCTGTCAAAATTGTCACACTGGGTGAGTTTAATTTCAGATTTTTTGTTAACTATTCTTTTGAACTATAAAGTTATAAAACACTTTCTTATTTTGTAGTTTTTCAAGAAATTAGGTGAGATGAAATTAAAAATATTTATGTAATATATTTTATATGGTAAGTTTTAACTCCAAAGGGATTCTACCATTTATTTGTTAGATACATGTTATTATGAGAAACTAGCTAGTAGCTTGGATAATACTTACAAATACTTGAATGTTGACTCACGATTTTGCAACTTGCTGATTTTAAAGGTATAGGTGAAGTAGCAGTTCTAGACAGACCTCATTTTCTAGTTGAGTTTAAGTCAGTGAGTGCTTTTTTTTAAATAAATACTGTGGTTCTTGATCTACCATAAGGTTACACATTTTATAGAAATTAATACTGAACATTTGTGAAATTTGTGTTCACATAATTTGAAGGGGCTGGATGTTGCCTAATTGTTGGTGTGCCTTAAACTGTGGATGAGTAGTGTCAAGTTTCATGTTCCATTGCTGCAGGAATATGTTTTGCACTTGGAGATCATGGGTTCATTATTATATTGATGATCAAATCCTACTACTTGGTCAGACAAGAGTAGTCCAAGAGTTAGTGGTGTGTGTGGTTGGTAAATTGCCTTTCCATCAAGTCTGTAAGTTCTAAATTAGGGATTGCTTTGTGCAAAAAATTCTAAAACATGCAAACATATCTTGAAGATAATTTCATGTCAGAATGACATAATAAATTACATTTTTGAGCTGAAACAGTACTAAATTTTATAGATTAAAAATAATTCCATAATTAAAGATGGTAAAATAGTTAAAGACAACCGAGTTTTTGGAAAGAATGACGTACATGTTCATCACAAACATTGAACATTGTCATACATTAAATTATACAAGAACTATTTTTTCACATTTTGTTTTTAAATCTCTTTATTGACTCAGTTTAGTAAATGTGAATTAGTCAATTTGATTACAGTTGGCTTATAATGAAGCTATTTTGGTAAATCTGAATTAATCAAGTTTTGGTTCTTGTACCTGACTACAGTTGGCTTATAATGAAGCTAATCATTCATTTCTGTAACATGTAATTGTCATTGATGGTTTTCATTATTGCTCTTATTTTTTAATTTTGAAGTATGAATGATTATCAGATCTAATTAGGTATTGGAGTTTTGTACAACCAATTTAATTTTTCAATTACTGCATCACCACTTTTAATTCCTTGTCATGTTGCTGAAATTTTATATGTTACCTTGAAATTGGATTTTTAGTTTCTGAAATAGTCTATAAACAGCAAGGTTTCCAGCACAGTCCAAAAGTCAGTTTACATGGGCTGAATATCTATACATTTCACAGAAAATGCTCAAAGTATTCACTCTCAAAATTCATACAGCGTTTAAGACATTTGATGCAGATCGCATCACGACATTTATCACTGCTCTGTACCATTACACAAATAACATTACACACATTACTTCAAATAAACAAGAAAAAAGAAATGTCTTCAATTGGCAGCCATGTTTTGTGGACACCCCAGATTTTTGTCATAAATGTTGTAACAACCTAAACAAACCTCAGTGCGTGAATATTTTGAATGGTACTAAAAATTCCAGTTAGAAGTTTTAGTATTATACAACTGAATATTTTTTGTTCACATATTACTGAATTATTATTATTCTTGTGAACATATTTTGATAAATGTAGGATGTACTGTTTATTTTTTAAACTACTTATCCAACAAAATTCAGTATTTCAAAATGTTTGCAAACTTAGTCTCTTCTGGTACACTTTCTATTAGAAACACTAAAACTACTTTTAAGTACTAAAAATGCTGTAATGTGAATGCTATGTTTTTCTTGCTTATGTTCATTTTAACTCGTTTCATTTTCATGTACCTAGTTATTGTTAATGCTTGAAAATATATCCCTTTTTTTAAATATTATTTACTAATACAAGTATTATTTCTCTTCTAGCAGACCCTCACAAAGATACTTGTTTTGGTGACTGGTTCAGTAGGTTCTTGTTGGATGAGTTTTTGGGGTATGATGATGTATTAATGGCCAGCTTGAAGAATTTGGCAGAAAAAGAAGAAAATAAAGGTTTGCTTAATATTACAAAGTGGTTAGACTGAGATTAAATTTTAAATGTTAATATACTTTCAGTAGTGTGAGAACTTTTGATATGGACACGTGTTTGGCAGCTGTTCGAGTTGTAAGAAACATTATAAAGTTTTTTTATGCCGAGATCATCCTGAGTAATTTCTTCTCTATTTTAATGGTGCAAAGTGAGAGATAATAACATGAGATCACAGTGTTAACATAAGATTAAATTTGGGTTAACTATTTTTCTCAGAGTGTTTGTCAATATAGTCCTTGCAGAATGATTTTTTTTGAAGCATTATGAAATTAACAGTAAGTGTAAATAAAACTTTCATAAATACTTTATATTTGTTAACTGGATACAAACTTTGGTGTTGGGACTAAACTGATATATTTTCACCACAAACACTTAATCTCTGTTTTTTTTCGTTAAGTTTTTTAATATAAACAGTTGGTTTGGTTACCATAAGTTGTGAGGGACAAATTATTAAAATAAATAAATACAAGTTCATGCTTTAGATGAAAACAAAATTCATATAACTAACCTACTGTTTTAAGTAAAATTTTAGTCTAGTTTTGTATTGTTTTGTTAGTCTGGAAGGGATATATGATCATATAAGTTTTGTGCTATTCTATGATTAATATCCTATATTAATCTAGTTGAACTGATATAGCTTCTAAAGTTCTCTAATCCTTATATTATAGATTTGTTATCTAGTGTGAGCAAATATGTTTGATTTTATAATGGTATACTCTATTACACTTGCTAGTGGCATAGCAGGATAGATTTTGACAATTTATCTACTGCTGAGTTTGTCGAGGAAGTATATTTGTTTGATTTTATAATGGTATACTCTATTACACTTGCTAGTGGCATAGCAGGATAGATTTTGACAATTTATCTACTGCTGAGTTTGTCGAGGAAGTATATTTGTTTGATTTTATAATGGTATACTCTATTACACTTGCTAGTGGCATAGCAGGATAGATTTTGACAATTTATCTACTGTTGAGTTTGTCGAGGAAGTATATTCCAGTAGTATAAATTGTAGTGAATCCAAATATTTTCTACAACAATAGGTAATAAGCATACAAGTCAGGTCTGTAAATACCTTATACAGCTATTTTTCTTGTGCATTGCAGCTAGCACCTTATTAGATATATAAAGGCTTCATTAGGAAGCCAATTAGCCTCAGCATAACCTAAAGTTGTGCTGTCTTTAAATTAACTGAAAGATACATTACTAGTACCTTAACAATTGTTTTACATTTTGTTATGTACTTTATGTTACGGTAATCAAAGAACAACTTCATTTAATGCAGTCCCCTTGTTGTTCATCAGTGCATTTATGGATGTACAGCTTTAAAATCAGGGGACTGATTTTCTGTTATGGTGAGAGTGCATATAGTGTATTGTGTAGCATTGCACTAAAACAAACTACAAAACTAAATGTTTAGTGCAAACCTTTTACCTATACTACATTAAATGTTCTTATATGTTTCAGATTAAGGCTGTTTCAAAAACACAGTTAAAACTTCATGATTACTGTATCATCATATGACAGCAAATAAAATAAAAGAAAGAAATAGATCATAGTTGTCAATAGATGGAAATATACTACATAATGTGACCTTTTGAGATTGAATTTGTAGCACAGTAAGCACATATATAAGAGTTTGTGACAAATAGCAAAGAATATTTAATTAAGATACTACAGGGTGTCCACAAAATCTGAAACCATTAGGCACTTCATCACATTTTACTGAATGTGTTCTACATGCTGTTCTTGTAATTTGAAACAAGTTTGGAGACAGTATTTCCATTCTCTTTGAACACTGCGAAGCATATTTGTGTCATTGTTAGTGGTCTGATACTCTTCGCAAATTCGTTGTTTCAAATGTTCAGTTTCCCTGATGTTCTTTTTGTACACACATACCTTGAGCAGTCTCCAGAGATTTTGGCCCATGTCTGCCAATCCAATGTCCTGGGAAGGTGCCATTCAGCTAAGCTCTGAAATTAAGAAAAGCTGCAAATCACCAATGATTCCAGAATTTTCAGACACCCTTCAGATTTAATTTGTTGCTTAACATGTCGTAACTCATCAATAACAGTTTAGTGAAATATTTATTTATAGTTGTAGAACATGTTAATTACAGTAACTTTTTTTTTTGAAGTGAAATCTGTAACAAATATAAGTGAGAAACATTATATACTCGTAATACCCTATGATATTTGATATTTTAACTGGCATAGGCTGTGCAAAGTATGCGTTGTTATTCTGTAAAGGTCTGTCTTGAATCATTATTAAGTAATTTGTAATATGTGTTGTTTCAGTGGAGGTGAAACTTTTTATGATATTGTCTTATAGGATATGTAAGAAATGTAGTTACTGGTGAACATTATCGATTTGTCAGCATGTGGATGACGAGGACCTCCTATATAGCTGCAGCATTTATCATGATGGTCTTTGTAAGTTTACACGTATACATTAACAAGGTAGTTTTGTTAAATGCTATAGAAATGTTAAGTTACTTGTAGAAATTATTCTTTGAGTGATAGGTGGGGATAAGAATTGTAAGAGCACATACCCTATGAGAAATATAAATAGATACATATATGTTATGTATTTTAGCTTTGATGAGTACGATCACACAGTGTCTGCAGTTATAATTTAAAGTTTTTATCTAGAATATATATATATATATATTTTAGGCTGTTTCAAGTGGGAATTATATATATATATCTACTCAGCATATCAGATGACCTTGTGTACTATTAGAAAGAGTGTTTAATCAATAGTATTTAACTTTGGCTTCATAATTCTTAATCTATTTCTTGAAAACATTCAGTGCAACTTTCTTAAATTTTCACCTCATACTTTGAAAAGTGTTGTATATAGAACCAAATCTGCTATAAAAATTAAACAAATCATAGCGAAATGTAGGAAGATATATCAAGTGATTATTATCAACAACAGCCAAACTTGTGCAGCAGAGTTTCTTGAGGTTGACCAATGTTAGTTAATAATAGCAAAACTGATACCGTATTAAATATTTTGGAGTTCATTGGTATTGAAAGTAATGATGGAAAGAGTTGATTTTCAGCACAGAAACATAAAAAAATTACACAAGTTAATGGATATGTTAGTTATAACAAATGTAAAAGTTGAAGTTGCTAATTATGATTAGCAACATAAAATGGTGGAAACTGTAGGTTTTTTTGCACATATCAGTCAATTTGGTATTTCATATGGAACACATACAGTATGCAGTCTGAGTTTATTATTTACTAGAGAATTTAAATAATGAACTTGCTGAACTGATGTATGGATGTAATAAATCTTGAGGTTCTAGATTTTTAATGCATTGCTCAAGATTTAATCATATGTCATCATTTATATCACTGTAATTTCTACTTTAAATTCTACTTATGTTTACAATTAAAAAGTGAAAATTGGTTGGCTGTGGTTATTTCTGGTAACCTAAATGATAGTGCCATTTAATAATTATTAGTTGAAGTACTTGTTCAATGCATGGAAAGAACAAGAGACTCCAAATAGGGGCAGGTCCTAACAATGATCAGTCTTTGTCACTACCCTTGGATGCACTAGCTTCTTACAATGCATAGCTTTAAGCTGCTTTAGACAACCATATTTTTGTTTATATTGTACCATGTTCTTCACACAAGTGTACATGAAATATGCATAAATTCAAGTATTTGTACATGTAACTTTCTACACATGCATGTGGTACATTCACATAAATTGCATACCTTTTTAGTCTTTTTCATTGTTGTGTTATGGTTGATATGGCCTTGTGGGTAATGTGTCACAGTACAGCTTCTCTCATTATTTCACTGATCGTAACTAACTCAACATAACAGTTTGATGTTATAGTTTAATAGGTGATTTACAGCTATTACAAGACATTTGTTGTGAGCAGAGGAAATCCACTATACACTTTAAATAAAAGTCCAGAGATACAGCTTTTGAATGGATTGTTTCACATAATAAAGTTAAACAAAAAATAAAAAGAAACAATCCACTCAAACGTTATATATCTCTTGACTTTTATTTATTACAAGACATGCCGATTTAACATTTTAATGACTAGGAACCTCTGATATCTCTGTTGGTTTCCTGTTAGGCAATGACTATTTGTATTGTTGACTTTATTAAGAAACTGAGTAAAAGAGGCATGAATCATTGCATTTTGGCTCAAATGGTGAACTTTCCAAAAGAACCATAATGTATTATGAGTGTCTTGATAAGCATCTAGTTCAGAGTTGGCTGAGGTTAAAATTTCAAGAATAGTTTAATAATGTAGTCTTAGTCAAGTATTTTCAGTTTTTATTTGGACACCTAGAAAAAAACAATTGGGGATATAAATGGTGTAACTGAAGGGGTGCACTGATAATTTTTGCTAATTAGTAAAGAGCGTAGTTTTTACAACAAGACTGATGCTGTGGCATTTCATTCTGTTATGTTTTTGCAGCAATAACAAAATTTGTAAAACTTCACAAAATGTTTGTTTAGTAGAATATTTTTAAGAGTTAATAAAATAATGTTTATGAAAGAGCACTTAATGTTTTATTGTAATGGTATGCTTGTTTTCAGTACACACAGTAAAATAGTTCAGGTCAGCAGTGGTCATTTTTCCTTTCTTGCAACATGGCATTAATAATTTGGCATAATGTAAAAGTATTTCAAGTTTTATGCTAATAATGAATGCATTTATTTGTTGGTACATCCAATAACATTTTTGTGATATGTTGGTCAGTTCTGGTCAAGGTGGAATATTTTCCCACCCTGCAACATTACCAATAGCCCCCCCCCCCTCCCCCAGTAGATCAGCAGTAAAGTTATGCTTGGTTCTCTGTTAATGATTTTCAATACCATTCTAGAATTGAGGTCTTTTCTAGCTTAAGGAAGTGAGTGTCAAATGTTTTTTAAATTGATGGCATCTCGTGCCAACAGTTAGGTGTAAAGTTAAGATTATAAAATAATTTATTACACCTTATATGTATATATATA